AGAGCATATATTATGACATATGGCCCCCGTTGAAGAAGGCTGAACATGGTTTGAGTATACTTAAAGCTGGTGAAGCCAGGAATAGAGAAAATAATTTTACAGTTGAAATTAATTAAGGTTATGGTGACATAGTTTTATGTAAATAAAATATTGTATAGTACACAAGTAAATATTATTACAAGCAGTTTTACAACACCGGAGAGTTTGACATTTAAGGAAATCTTTGAAAATATCAAGGTTATAAAAGGCTATATACAACAAAATCTAATGTACTATAAGGTAAATGACATTGAGGAGTGTGAACAAGGAGAAGGGGAGTCACAAACACATGATGAAATTCTGAAGGTCATTAAGACTGGGGAACTCTACACTTTAAGATATTTTTCAGGCGGACATGGCAAGGGGAAACTTGGCATGGGCTTTCCATGCTATAAGTGTAGAGTACGAGAAATGAGAGGTTGAGGTTGGCAATTGTGTGAGCTCGAGACTGAGGTAAATATAGGACTACATACAATGTTAGAACCTTGGCGAACAGAGCGAGGGGAAGCTTGCCCTGGGCCAATCTACCTTATCTATGTAGTTACTTGTGTAGCGAGTCCGAGGGGAAAAGTCCCGTGTGTAGGTGAGGAAGTCGAATGTTTTTATATTTAATTTGCGAAGATATGCGCGCACAGTGCCAAAAATTGGGACGAGGACTGCGTTGTCCGTTACAAATGACAAGCTGCTCGGACACGAGGTGTTTGTACCGTCGTGGGAGCTTGTGCAAGGCGATGATTTCGCGGTGGGTTGCACGTAAGACCCATGTCTGCGCGAAATGATGACGGACCGGACAGAATCAGCGACGATGTTTAACGTACCTCCGTGGGAAATATCGAAGGTAGGCTATATCGTGCTGGTTTGGACAATGGACAAACATAGATTTGAAGACAGGGTCCGTGTGGCGAACGTGTGGCGCGAGAAGAAGGGGCGAACTGTGTCGCTCGATGCATATTGTTCAAGTGCGAACTAAAAGGAGTTGATAAATATCTAGCAGTTAGTCAATCTGCATCCTGTGACGAACACACCATTGGCTAGATGGTGTGGGTCGGTGGATATGCTAGAGATGAACTACGAAATATATTATCATAAATGAAGGGCGAAGATTAGGATTTTGAAATGACAATATTGTTTGCAATAATGTTCGATAATTGATTAATCAATAATTCTATAAAAGGTCCTGAGCTGGTATAAGGTTGACAAGGTTGTAAGAATGAGTGGGACATTAAGGGGAAGATAGATAAGAGTCACCAAAGGTTGGTTGTAAGCAAGGCTCACGTGGTGGTTGGAATTCTTTGACGCCCGAATTACAGGGCGAATTTTGAGTCGATTAGAGAAAGAAATTATTTTTCGTGAGCCGTGCTTACAAGTAGGAGAGGTCATATACAAATAGACATACAAAAGTTTAGGTGCTGAAGGCATATTTTTATAAATAAATTGATTATGAAAAATCTATTGTTAATAGTAAAAATCGTAAAGCATTAATAGGTAAATTTCCAATTTTTTTTTTTTTTTTTTTGGAGTTACGTTAAAATGGAAATCATTTAATTAAAATGACGATTGTTAAAAATTCTAATGATAATATAACTAATTAAATGGGTTACAAATATCTAGCTAAATAGTATGGAGAACAAAACCATTGTTAATAGGCGTGGAGAGAATAAATGGAGCTAATTATGTAAATATTGGGACAATTTACAAGGAAGGACTTATTTAAAGAATGAATGGTAGGAGTTAAAACAATTACACTCACGAGTTATGTTGGTTTAGGGCGCAGGTAAGTTCAATGAGCTTCGGGAGAGTTCTGTCTGTGACACTGTGCGTACCAGTGTTGTACATCATAGTAGCGGCAGGGATATGGCGGAGTCTTGTCCATGATGGAGGAAGGTGTCCTGCCCTGGCACGGTGGTCGTTCTTGGGCAGATCTAGTGCTGGAAGAAGTGCGTGGCAGTTCCATCTCCGTCGCGGGTGAATACTTCTTCGGGATCACGGTTCAAAGGTTGGCGAAGAAGGGGTTGAGGGCTCGAAGAGGAGTGGTTACAGTTGAGTTGGGTTTGGCCGATCATCGTGGCTTGGCCTCTTGTTTCTTCATACTCCGGTATATGAGGGATTTGCTTCCCGGCCAGGTCTTATCCTGTCGACTCTTCTGTAATGAGTTGAAGTTCTGGTAGCCTCTCGTAGAATCCTGTCGACTCTTCTGTGATATGATCCTGTCGACTCTTCTGAGATATGATCCTGTCGACTCTTCTGTGATATGATCCTGTCGACTCTTTCTGTGATATGATCCTGTCGACTTTCAGTGTGGCATTATGATAATAATGTGGGGAGAGAGAAATAAGGAAACAACAAGTTTGGAAGATGGGACCCAGCAAACCGAGAGAGAGAGAGGTAGCGCGTGGGGCTGTCACTGCCGAACGACCGTCTTGTGTCCAACCCCCATGACTGTCCAAAAATAGACCTGAGGTTCCAAGAAAAGGTCCTGCGGTCGCCCCCTTGGAATGTGACTGCTATATCAAGTGACCGGCCTTAGCTGCGTTCTCTCTCTCTCTCTCTCTCTGGTCGACTGTAGATTTACTTTATTATTCCTGGAAGAGCATATATTATGATATATATATATTTACAGAAGTAGAGAACTGATATAGCGTGAATCTCTACAATATAAAAGGTAAAAATATTTTATATAGAATGGAATCTACTTTGAAATATATAAATGTTATGTAGAGAGATAACTCAGGCAATTTTAAACTTGTTAAATTACTACCTCCAAGTTAGATTAAATCAGGTTAAATTAGGTTAGACAAACTTGTTTAGCTAACACATCTATCTAGTGTGTTCACTAAATATTCACATTGAATGCTCGAATGTAAAACTGTGGTTGAAACTAGTGGCAGAGCCTATATTTTGAGTAAGCTTTTATTCTTTTAAGAATAATAGTTAGATGGCGTCTGGTTTTAGACGTCTATTTTGACGGGAGAGGCGACCCTTGTCTCTTTAGATCGATTTCCTCCCGGCAAAATTTCCATCTATCTTTTATTATTTATTTAAAAAATCCAAGAATTATAATATATAATTGAATATATGAAAATATATCAGGATTGAAAATTCACCTTCAAAATTTAATTTAGTAGAAAGTAAACAAACGAAAATTTCTTTAAAGAAATACAAACAATCTCTCTATAGAACATATTTGCTTATATCTATATAAAAGAAATAATAGATTATTATATTAGAAGAAATTTGTTCCATCACAAAATAAAAATATGAAAAATTGCCTTTCCGATAAGAGGCCCAAATAAACCAATTTCATTCTCCAAGCCAAGTAGTTGCGGTCCTAAAAAAATAAACTCCAAATTAAAGTTAAAACTGCTTCAAATCTTTCTTCCCGCCTGTCAAAGGATTGACCGATGGGCGTCGATAATTGCTTTAAGCTACACATTTTCACTCGTGGGTTGACAAAGAAAATAAATCTTTATTGTTTTTCTATTCTCTTGTGTTGTTATATTGGAATGTGCTGGGTATAGAAATAGATGAACCAATACATTGGCGTGGATGACTAAAACATTTTAAAAATCACACATGATGTGTGAACACACAGTTTTTTTTATAAATATCAATATATTTATAATGTGTAAAGAGAGAGTGAGGAGTTTTTAATAATTTCTACCATTTTTTAAAAAGTGACCTGGTTTAAACTCGAAATACTTATCATTTTTGCAAAAAGATATTATTCATGATAATATTGTAACAAAGTATTTATTCATTTTATTATTTTTATTAGCAGAGTGGTCATTTTTACGTTTATATTTTGCTACTCTGTAAATTTCCCTCGTGACTTATCTTTTGTTTACCATACATAGTTTGTTTTTGCCTGACATAAATTGTTGTCTCCTCCTGAAGTTTTTGTCTTCCCTAATTTTCCACGTGGCAATATTGTGAAAAATGTTTTTAAAACCAAAATACTTTCTCACAATCAGTTTCTTTTTCTATATTAATAAAATGGAAATTTCATAAGTGTTGTTCACTAAAAACTTTCGTTACAATGCATCAATTTCGACCAAATTTTCAACATTTATGTAAAACGAGATGGAGCAGGTTTTGCTTAACATCAAAATATTTTTCCCTAACATTAACATGCGTAACTTCGCTGTTATCGATTAAATACAAAAACAAATCAACAGAGTTAATTTTATTTATATATAAATACAAAATTAAATTTCAACAGAGTTAATTTTTTTACATACTAGCTAATAATCTCAATCTAAAAAATATTCAAAACATGCAATTTTAAGATAACACCATATGTAAAACAGTCGGCCAAGAAAACAACAATATAATATAAAAAGCCAACAATTAAGAATAAATGTAAGATAAAAAGCCAACAATGAAGAGCAAATATAATATAAAAAGCCAACAATGAAGAATGAATGTAAGATAAAAAGCCAACAATGAAGACTAAATATGATATAAAAAGCCAACAATGAAGAATGAATGTAAGATAAAAAGCCAACAATGAAGAGTAAATGTAATATAAAAAGCCAACAATGAAGAATAAATGTAAGATTAAAAAAAGCCAACAATGAAGAGTAAATCTATATTAATAAAATGCAAATTTCATAAGTGTTGTTCGCTAAAAACTTTCGTTACAATGCATCAATTTCAACCAAATTTTCAACATTTATGTAAAACGAGATGGAGCAGGTTTTGCTTAACATCAAAATATTTTTCCTAACTTTAACATGCGTAACTTCGCTGTTATCGATTACATACAAAAAAAATCAACAGAGTTAATTTTATTTATATATAAATACAAAATTAAATTTCAACAGATTTTATTTTTTTACATACTAGCTAATAATCTCAATCTAAAAAATATTCAATACAAGCAATTTTAATATTTTAATATAATATAAAAAGCCAACAATGAAGAATAAATGTAAGATAAAAAGCCAACAATGAAGAGTAAATATAATATAAAAAGCCAACAATGAAGAATTAATGTAAGATAAAAAGCCAACAATGAAGAGTAAATGTAATATAAAAAGCCAACAATGAAGAATGAATGTAAGATAAAAAGCCAACAATGAAGAGTGAATGTAATATAAAAAGCCAACAATGAAGAATGAATGTAAGATAAAAAGCCAACAATGAAGAGTGAATGTAAGATAAAAAGCCAACAATGAATAGTAAATGTAATATAAAAAGCCAACAATGAAGAATGAATGTAAGATAAAAAGCCAACAATGAAGAGTGAATAAATCTATATTAATAAAATGCAAATTTCATAAGTGTTCACTAAAAACTTTCGTTACAATGCATTAATTTCAACCAAATTTTCAACATTTATGTAAAACGAGATGGAGCAGGTTTTGCTTAACATCAAAATATATTTCCTAACATTAACATGCGTAACTTCGGTGTTATCGATTAAATACAAAAAAAATCAACAGAGTTAATTTTATTTATATATAAATACAAAAAAAAATTCAACAGAGTTAATTTTTTTACATACACACACACTAGCTAATAATCTCAAACTAAAAATATTATATAAATATATTACTTAACGAATATAATTATCATTATTATCATAATATTCTGTGTGTTCCAGAATATTATTATCAATAATATTCGTTAGGCAAACTTTCACTCGGATAAAACCCGGGCGAAGCCGGGTACACATCCGCTAGTATTTAATAAATTACTAGCTTTCAAGCGATACTCGCTCTTCAACGGGCTTAATAAAAAACATCGACTATTTCTTATAAGAAAAACTAACAATATTTGTACGTATTTCTAAATATTTCTTGTAAGATATAGTCAATGTTTTTTATTAAGCCCGTTGAAGAGTGATTTTCGCTTGAAAACTTGCAATTTATTAAATAAAAAGAAATTCATTATGAGGAAATATTTAGTATTTTTAAATATATATTATGTAAAGTAGCATAGGTTAATGGGTTTATAGCATTTTTTAAATGACTTTCTGACTTGAAGAAATAAGTAGCTGCTATTTTCAGTTGGAATCCTTTCACTGTGAAAAAACCTCTTGAATATTGTTAAAATAAATTTCATATTAAAACAACTTCTTGTGCTTATAGCTATGAGGTTATATTATTAAATTATAAATTAAGGCAAATCTCTTTGAGTAGAAGGCTATCTCTTTGATGGGCCAAACTTTATATTTTCATGAAATCAAATGTTGAAGAACAAGGTGTTAAAAGTGTAGACAGCAAAGTAAAGTTGTTTGAACGGGTCGTTTGTGGATAAAAACTGAACATACACTAGGTATTTTCAGTTCTTGGCTGTAAAATGGTTGAGATATGATAGAGATAAATCGTTGATAAGTGTTGAGGTTATTTTACTAAACCATAAAGTGGGCATGCTTTCGATCAAACGACTCTTTAATAGCCCTAATTTATATATATTCATATAAACAAATGTGTCATCTATACATAAGAAAATGAAGCATTTAAGCATGAAGGTTTCTTTTTAAATATAAAACAAACTTCTAATGTCCTTACTGCGATTATGAAAAACTTAGTTTGTTTTATATTTTAAAGGAAATCTTCGTGCTTAAATGCTTCAATTTCTTAAGTATTGATGGAACATTTGTACATATATAAATTAGGCCTATTAAAGAGTCATTTGATCAAAAGCTTGACCAATTTATGGCTTAGTAAAATAACTCAACACTTATCAACGATTTATCTCTACCATATATCTATCATTCTACAGCCAAGAACTGAAAATACCTAGTGAATGGGCAGTTTTACTTTTCTGTCTGCACTTTTAATATCCACAAACGACCCGTTCAAACAACTTTGCTGTCTGTAGGCATTTTTAACACCTTGTTCTTCAACAGTCGACTATTGTTGATTGTCACAACCATTTTCTTTTTTTACTATGATCTCTGTTGGAAGGCTTTTGTATAAATAATTCGGTTTTCAAATAATTTAGTTTCGGATTGCCTTTATAACGTGACCATTATATAATTGCCCTAACACAATTATCAATGACTTTCTTGCGGAGCATCAATACACGAACCATCTATTTATATAAATTTCAGAAATGGGAAAATATAATTCGGGTAAAAAGTTTATTTCATTTTAGTTTTTTCAAGCTTTTGAGCAGATTCTTTTGCTATTCAATGGGCTAATACTCTATGTACAATCTCTAAATATTCTTTATACAAAATAATTGAAAATAAATTGTTACAGCATGTGTCCTTGCGGGCGTGCATCAGCCTGTTTACAGCAAAAATAATTGATATTATAATAGGATAAAATATACACATACAATTATATAGATAATTTTCAGGGAAATTGTTATATTGGGTTGGTAGGTCTATTTTTCTATTGATGCTATTTATTTTTGATGATACCAGTGCTTCCAGGAATAATCGTTGTTGCTTGCTGCCAAAGATCTATACGGCCATATTCATCTTAAATACTACCTCACCATGAATTTCTCTGAAATACTGCAACATATTGTTGTATCAGGTTGAGGTTCACTAATTCCTCAGCTTTATTTTCTCCTTATGTATTCCCTGAACTTTCCAGAGCATGTTTCAACCATCATATAAGGTTATAGGTCAGACGTCAGCAAACCTTTGAGTCGAAAGAGTCAAAAATTACAATTTACAAAATTTCAAAGTTTTCAAAGAGCCACAATTTTTTTCCTTGCCAACAATAAATAGTACTCGCGTAAATAATATTTACGTATGGAACTATATAAAGAGCCACAGCTTCACAAAGAACCGCATGTGGCCCGCGAGCCGCATTTGCCGAACTGTGTTATAGGTGGATAATAAAAGGCAACTATTAGGTAACACCATGAGAATAACTCATTTTTCTCATTCCTTATTTAAAAAAATGGGTAGTCACACAGTGTTGCATTATATACCGATCTAGTTTATAATACACTCATGGACAAAACTTAAGGAAGCTGTACCTTTCATCATGTATATTGGGATATTCAGACAATAACTCTGAAATATATTTGCTACACAGTGATCTTTATTGAAGACACACGAGATAACCAAGTGTGAACAAAATTGCCTGTCTCCTTCAAAAAACAGATGATTCGCGACACCAAAATATGAAATTTCCTTAAGTTTTGTCCATGAATGTACATAATCTGTTTATACGGAGGGTGTTTCCTTTCAAATGAAACGATTTCAAACGTCCGTTAGAACTTTATTTTTCGAACGTGAATTTTTTTCATGTGTTCTATGTGCTTCCCCTTCTTCTTGGCTATCTCCCTGCATCGGACTTTCCAAGCTGCGAACACTTCCTTGACTTTGGAGAGCGAAACATTCGACCACTCCTCTTGTGCGGCTTTCCAAAGAAGGAAACAGTTATAGCGTCATAGTGAAAAAGCTAAAAGCAGAAGGACTAGATGTTGGCAAAGCTACAATATGTAGGGTAGTAAATGGCATCGGAAAGAAAAGGGAAGCTGAATCCAATGGGCAAAAATTTCAAGTCGATCGACCACGTCCGGTGCGGACCCCCGCCACGGTTTCCAAGGTAAAGCGGCTAGCAACTACTGAAAATCCACCATCTCAGCGCCAACTTTCCAGAATGTGTGGAACATCGCTAAAAACGATAAATAACATCATTCACAAAGATTTGGAACTGGATACCCGACGAAAAGGCAAGGTTCACAAGCTCACCCCTTTCCACATGAAAAACCGTGCAACGAATGCCCGGAAGCTCTACGAGGAACACCTGGCCGGTTCCAGATCGGAATATACTGCAACATTGGACGAAGCATGGATGTATGTGACGTATTGCAATGGAATCCGGAAGATCTGTTACATCAAAAGAGGCAATCAGGTCCCGGATAATTGGGTTCACCAATGCTCCGAAACTTTTCCTAAAGGTTTCATGGTTGTCGGGGTAATGACTGGCCGTGGAGTCCTTCCGCTCATAAAGGTTCCATCGAAGGTGAAGGTGAACTCAGAATTCTATATAGAATGCGTTCTGAAACCTGTCATCGAACAACTGAAGGACCTTTACCCAGGGGAAATGGACAAAGTGTTTCTTCATCACGACAAAGCCTCTTCCCATACCTCCAACAAAACCCAACAGTTCCTACAAGAAATGAAGGACACCCTAGGCCTAAATTTTATCAGGAACTCGGACATTCCAGTGAAGTCTCCCGACGCCAGCCCACTGGATTTTTACGGGTTCGGTATGTTGAAACAACGGCTCTTCAACCGACGTCCCAAAACTGAGGCCGGACTTTGGAAAGCCGCACAAGAGGAGTGGTCGAATGTTTCGCTCTCCAAAGTCAAGGAAGTGTTCGCAGCTTGGAAAGTCCGATGCAGGGAGATAGCCAAGAAGAAGGGGAAGCACATAGAACACATGAAAAAAATTCACGTTCGAAAAATAAAGTTCTAACGGACGTTTGAAATCGTTTCATTTGAAAGGAAACACCCTCTGTATATATGAAATTGATATCGTGATATTTTCAAATATATGATAAATATATATAATATATTAACATATATATCAACCATAGGATTGAACAATATAGAAAGAATATTAATACAATATTAGAGTGGTATAGTAGATTAAAAATTCCAAATCTTTGACCGAGGCTACCATGATTAACAAAGCCCTTTCAATATTTTTTCTCATTGTAACAGAGGCAGCAGGAAATTGTTTTTAATTTATGAAAAGTTTGCGTTGATAAATGTCTAATAGTGTTTTATTTCAATCAATAAATCGACGCTGAAATCGGTCTTTGTTAATAAATTATTGCTTAGCATATAATATTGCAAGAAAGTAGATAATATGATAATAGATTAGAGAAATAACATTATGTTATTTTGATTAAAATATAATAATATATAATATATTGATTATTCAACTAACTATATCAATGTGAGAGAGAATAACGTCAGTATCTTTTTACAGAAGTATTAAAATGTTTTGATCATCTTGGCTGCAATTATTTTCAAGTATTAACACCAGTTCTTGGAGGTTTGTTCACATCTAGCTTACTCAAAACCTTTCTAGGGTTTTTGTTTGATTTGATTAATTCTAAAATGGGATGTGGTTAGGCAGAGTTTATGAGACATTTAATACAGAATGGTTAAGACTTCTTAATATTCTCGAAAGTCAATGGTTTTACGTGATCTGTTTTAAACATTTTTTCTGAGAGATGAAATGAACAAAGGTATATTTAGAATTTTATTTAAGTTGTGAAACACTATTCTCATCATATTTTAAGTTCCTTCGTTATTGAGCTCAAGGGAAGCATGACTACATACCTTGTCTTGATAAGTCAACACTTTAGATATTTATTATTCAAAACCTTTCATATATAAATATCATCCACATTGAATATAGGCAAAAAATATTTTTTTATAACTTAATTATATTGGGCTTATGTGGCGCTGAGTATTTTATTGACAAAAATATGTTGTAATACCTTGAAAAAGGTTGGCGTTCACCAACTGAAATATTGGCAAATAAATTATATTTTGATCCAAAATATGCCTTTTTAATTAAAGATATACAAATATGTACATCAGTTGGTCAATGATCAAAATGAATATAAATTATAATGCACATCATAAACCTTACAATTAATCTGGTGGTTATTTAAAATGCAGCCTGCACCACGCTAAAAAAGCTAAAATTTTCAAAAAATCAAATATTATTGCTTTTTATTGATTAATATTGAAAATGTCTGTTTGTTTGAGTACTGTATTTTTATTTGTAAATAAAACACTACTTTTAGTTTATTTAATTACTTAAATAAATGGTGTTAGGTATCATGTAAATGACCGTTGAGTTTATCAGAAGATAGCTTCGTCTTCAAGAAAAAACAAACATTTTAGCTAATGAAATTCTTCATGGATAATTTATTGATCATTTTAAAAATTGAGAGCCACCTAGAGTTGTGGAGAGTCTTGTTACCACCAGTCAATCCATTATAAAAGTTGCAGAAAGAGATTTGTGTCCAAGTTGGTTTCCAGAGAGCGCTGTCCTAGAAAGCATAGACCTTATTACGAGTCTTTAATCCCGGATTAAGTTTTCCATTTAGAAAGTTGAAAAGTTTTGTTCTTCCTGCAACTTCTAACGGAAATACCCAATTAAATCCCATGAAATATCAAGAGATCTTTGTCATTTCTGATGCAGGACTTCTTTACTGGGTTTCTAATTACCTGGTGGCTTAGAATCATCAAATCTTTCTTTCTTCTTAAAAAAAAAGAAAGAAAAATCTATTTAAATATTATATCAGATAACCTGTGCCCTGTCCACCAACACTATCCGTAATTAGCTTACTGCGTTAAGAGTAATTGAAAAGATAATACTCTTCCTATAATTAACATTATAATACCAGATAATTATTTGTTTAAAAGATTTCTTTTATCATTACACCCTCAAAGATTATTAAAATTGTCATAATAAAAATATCGAAATATCAAAAATATCAAAAAATATTAAACTTCTTCAAGTTTTGTCCATAAGTGTACAATGTGTGTGCACCTTGTCTCCTTTGATTCATAGCTGAATGTATTTTGAAATTCATTCCGAAAATTGAAATAAAAATTACGATGTTACATTTGCCATATGATCATTATTAGCTTTTGATGCAAATGTAAGGTCCTTGAAGGATAGTGATGTAGGAACTTGTATAAAGCTAAAATATGTTTAAATGATTGACCATGCTGATTAACCAATCGCATTGAATTTCAAGAAAATACCATTTACTGATCATACAACTTAAAGTTGTTGATGACTTGCCTTATCTGTCAAAAAATGAATTAATCATTACATTTTAATTGATTCCTTCTCGAAGGAAGAATCTTACACGATTAGAAAATGTTTTTTTTTTTTTCTTAATTTTCTCTAACATGTGATCCCAGTCTTTTGTTTATATAAAAGACATATAATTCTATAAAATAGGCTTAAACATTTTTTTAAAACAAAATATCAAAGCCTTAACTATATATATGCACTTATGGACAAAACTAAAGGAAGTAAAAAGTCTTTGCTGTCGACTGTCGTCTTTTTTTTTTTTTTTTTAAGGAAACATAGGCAACTTTTTCACACTTGGTTATCTCGTTTATTCAATAAAGGTCATTGTGTATCAAATATCTTCCAGAGGAATTGTCTGAATCCCGATATACATCTTAAAAGGTAAAACTTTCTTAAGTTTTGTCCATGAGTATATATAACAGTAGAAGACCTTTTTAACCACATTTCTCTCACTCTTAAATAGAATAAATATACATTTTAAAGAGATATATTGATGGATTGGAGAAATATACCTTGAAAAGAATGAAGAAAAATATAGACCAAAGAGAGAGAGAATTGCTAGTTAATCCGATAGAATGGTCTAAAGTTAGAAGATGTGAAGTGAATTTCACAGAGCGCGGTGAAATCGAGCTTCCCATAATGGTCAACTTCGGTATCGGAGATCACAAAATCTGAGAAGAGATTATTTTCCCCTGCAATCCCAAAATAGCGCTTAATTATATTCTTTTTAAAAACATGTTTACCTGATGAACACAATAATATGTTAAATCCCGAATAAAATCAACTTTTGTTCATCAAATAACACTTCCAGCAACATTTGATCATCATTTAGCAATGGCTGAAAACAGCGTCTGTAGCTGCAAAAGCATCTTATAGATTTAACAGAAAGTTTAAAATACATAGTGATGAAGAGGCGATCATTAAAATCATTTAAATTTCTGAAAGGCTAGGTGCAGAGAAAGAGACCACTCAAAATAAGAAGAATATTAGTTTTTCATACATAAGTAAAATGGCATTTAAAAAATCTCCGCGAGCTAAGAATAATAAAAATCCTAGGGAATGGAATCTTTCAACAGTATATATACAGGGGTCAGAGAAAAATACATTATCCAAAGTACACTCATGGACAGAACTTAAGTAACTGTACCTTTTAGCATGTATATCAGGATTCAGACAATACTTCTGAAAGATATTTGATACACAATAACTTTATTGAAGACACACCAGATAACCAAGTTAGAACAAAATTGTCTGTCTCCTTCAAAAACAAATAAAAATAGACGACAGACGACACCAAAGACTTTCTACTTCCTTAATTTTTGTCCATTAGTGTGAATGGTACATTAATAAAATTCGATTTTCATTATATTCAGGAGACAATGCACTCAAATACAACTTCGATTTTGCCCCATTTGATAACCAGTATTGTTAAATCAGCCTACTAATATCTTAATCTTCGACGACTAATCCGTCTTATCTTTAATATGTAAAATTAACACATTTATGGTTAATTAATTTTAATTCGAATGGTATGATTTAATGGTGCCCAATTATTATAAATAATTTGTTTAAATTTAGTTGAAAACTGTGGCATAATATTATAAAAAGGCTAAAACTCTTTTAGCAATAATTACATAACTACATACATAATTACATCGTGTGTAAATTTAATTTAACCACCTGATCCAAGTACAATAACACTTTTGTATATTTGGCCTTATATATTTTATAATGTACTTGAAATATAAATGTAAATAATATTATAATTGAAAAAATTAAATAAATTTTAAAATATTTGCAGAGTTTCTTTATTCAGATATTGGGAGGCAAGCTTTCACACGGTCGCGCTTCATCAAGCCACTGGCTCCGGAAAGGCGTGAAACACACATACAATAGAAATTCACAGAAATACATTTTCAAAAAATCAAATATAAATTATATATATTATAAATTGGAGCGAAAATTAGATTCTCTTGACAATCGGTGACATTCAGCGCAATGGCTGCCCCAAGATTTAGCTCTGAAACATTCCCGAAGCCATAATTACACCATGAGAAAGTAATTTGGATGTTTAGTGATCTAGACGCCGGTTTAATCCATCAAACGACGAGAACATCCATGACATAAAATCGTCAACGTCCAGTGCAATGGTTGACCTATATATAGCAACAAAACCCTACACATAAGCCAATATTGCATAGAATAAGGTAGTCTTGGTAGTCTACCGCTGTTTATCCATCAAAGTTTTCTGAATCCAAGCGAACCCATCACAGCGAAGAGTTATATTCACAAATTGAAATGAAAGAGAAAGCAATATTTTCAACGACCTAGCATTTATCAATTGAAAAGGACCTAACCTTATCAAATACAACTGTTGATAACTTGATTATGATAAGTGCATGAGATGGGTTATGAAATTCTTGATCTTTCGTCATATTCGCCTATAATATTTCGCTTACCGAATACTATTTCTTCAAACACATTGATCATTTCCGACGCTAGAAATTGTGCAAAAGCGAAAGTGATGCGAAACCGTTTCAATGATTTCATTTCTTCCAAAACCCCAAATTCATATATAACCGGTAAAAAGAAGATTGTTTCTCACTGGCAAAAAATGTGTCAATTGATTTTAATTCGAAGCTAAAAATATACGGATTGCAGAAAACACTGAAATTACAAAATAACATAAAGGGATAGAACAACGAAACTATAAATATTGAGGCATTATCCCAACATCGAAATTTAGCTTAACTTCGGGGAGTTTGGAACAAAATTTCAATGTAAGCACAATAACCTAAATTTGAAAAGCCTGAAAAGGTTGGTACAACGTTCAAAATTTAGTAGATCTGAGTTAGCATAAACCTCGATGAGCAGTAAAAACACATAAAGTTATGACATTTAGTAGTTTTCACAACATCGAGGGATCATCACAACATATAGAAGTTATCATAAAATATAGGGGTTATTATAATATCTAGGATTATTACAACATCTAGGAGTTATTACAACATCTAGGGGTTATTACAACATCTAGGAGTTATTACAGCCTCTAGGGGTTATTACAACATCTAGGAGTTATTACAGCATCTAGGAGTTATTACAACATCGAGGGGTTATTACAACATCTAGAGGTTATTACAACATCTAGGGAGTATTACAACATCGAAGGGTTATTACAACATCGAGGAGTTATTACAACATCTAGGGTTATTACAACATCTAGAGGTTACTACAACATCTAGGAGTTATTGCAACATTTAGGGGTTATTACAACATCGAAGGGTTATTACAACATCTAGGGGTTATTACAACATCGAGGGGTTATTACAACATCTAGAGGTTATTACAACATTTAGGGGTTATTACAACATCTAGGGGGGGGGAGTATTACAATATCTAGGAGTTATTACAACATCTAGGGAGTATTACAATATCTAGGAATTATTACAACATCGAGGGGTTATATCAACATCGAGGGGTTATTACAACATCTAGAGATTATTACAAAATCTAGGGTGTATTACAATATCTAGTAATTATTACAACATCGAGGTGTTATTACAACATCGAGAGGTTAATACAACATCGAGGGGTTATTATACATTTAGGGAGTATTACAATATCGAAGGGTTATTACAACATCTAGGGGTTATTACAATATCGAGGGGTTATTACAACATCTAGGGGTTATTGCAACATTTAGGGGTTATTACAACATCGAAGGGTTATTACAACATCTAGGGGTTATTACAATATCTAGGGAGTATTACAACATCTAGAAGTTATAACAACATCTAGGGGTTATTACAACATCTAGAAGTTATAACAACATCTAGGGAGTATTACAACATCCAGGGATTATTACATCATCTAGGGGTTATTACAACATCTAGGGAGTATTACAACATCTAGGGGTTATAACAACATCTAGGGGTTATTACAACATCTAGGGGTTATTACAACATCTAGGGAGTATTACAATATCTAGGGGTTATAACAACATCTAGGGGTTATTACAACATCTATGGAGTATTACAACATCTAGGGGTTATTACAACATTTAGGGGGAGTATTACAATATCTAGGAGTTATTACAACATCGAGGGGTTATTACAACATCGAGGTGTTATTACAACATCGAAAAGTTATTATAACATCGAGGGATTATTACAATATCGAAGGGTTAGCAGAATACATAAAGGAGTTAATACAACATCTAACGTTTAGTTCAACATCGAAGAATGATAAAAACATCGAAAGTTATCACAGTATCTAAACATCTAGCAGTTAGTACTGCATCAAGGGGTTTGCACATACTACATAGAGGAGATAGAAATATATCCCAATCGTTTTGCACAATTCATATAAAGGTTAGAATATCTTTGAATAATCGTAACTAAAATTAAATATTACAAAATTAATATTTAAAATGTCAACCAAAAAATTATCATCTTATATTTAAAAATACCAATTAAATCTATATATAAACTTACCTATATAAATATTATACTATACATATATCAACGGGTACTTAAAATCAAATTTTGAATATAAATGCATAATAAAAATTCCATATGAGTAAAAAAGATGTATTAGTTATTTTTGGATTTTTCAAGCTAACAAACGTCTCTTAGTTGTAGATATGTACGTTCCATTGACCGCCATCTAGAGGAATAATCCTCAACATAATTGCATATTGGCTATGAAATATTCATACATTGTACAAATAAAAATTAATATTTAAATAACTCAAAATATAAACGCTCTTCAGACATTGGGCTTTGTCTATTTTGAAAATACAGTTGTTCAAAACAAACTTTAATTTTTTTTTTAATTAAAAATCATCGAGAAAGAATTTAATCTGAGAATTAAGATATTAAGTTTTAGATTATTTATAAATTTATTGATATTCAGTTTCTTACTATTAGCCAAACCTATATGTGTACTGTCATTAAAATTTCTCAACATTATTTCAATCATTTCAAAAACTATTAAAATACTCAATTTATTGTCAATGTAACTGACAAGAGTTCTCACCACTACATCAACCAACAAAGACTTGACATGCGACCCTTTTATGTGAAAACAAAAAGTCCTTTCTCAATTCAACCTATTACGACTGAATCCCTCCATGACTGACTACATTCATAAAATAAAAATATAAACAGTAGTAATGGGTTTCTTTATTCGTGCAAAGTACAAACTTTCGTATCTTTATAATCCTTCTACAGGCACAAGGATTATAAAGATCCGAAAACTTGTAAATTGCACAAATAAACAAACGCATAATGCTACAGTTCTTATTTTATACCTTATAGCAATTTTCTATTCTAATAACTGCATCAATGAATTTTACCTGAAACCGCTGTTAAAATTCTCCACAGACCTTCAAAAAAGAAGACCAATGACTATT